GGGGGGGGGGGATTCTGTTGTCGTTCTGATTCCTTTGCTCTTTGTGTGAAGATATTTTTGAGAGAGCGATAAAAAAAGGCAGACTTGCAGAACTGCAAAAAAAAAAAAGTACTATCTAAGAGAGGGCAGACAAGTCATTACATTGTGTAATGTATTATACGTATACATATTGAGAATGGAAGAGAGAGAAAAAAAAACCTACCAAGTTTAAAGAGAAATGAGAGAAAACAGGGTGCTGTGTTATACTCCTCCTGAACCCTGCCGTCAAGTTGCGAGACAAGTTCGAAATAATAGAGACCATTACAAGTTGTTGTTGGTTTTGGGGTTGTTTTTTTCAATGTAACGTGTTTTACTGCGCTCGCAACTAGTAACTGCATAAGGCCATATGAGCGCGGGGGACACACCTAACATTTTTAATAGGTAGGAAATTTTGAATCTTGCCCGGGTGGCGGCCATAGCCTACTCTTATCGATTTAAGAACACCAAGGGATCTTTAACGTGCGCAACTTGCACACGGGCCCTCTAAGATTTCCTGCACTTGTCCGAGAAGGCTAGGTGTAGATCTTTCTTACCAGAAGATCAGGGGTGAGACTGAAAGACAGAAGTAAGAAAGGGCAAGGGAGAAGCAGTACAAAGGCTGCATAAAGAGTCAGGAGCCCAAATGTGGGGGCAAATGAGGTGAGGGGGTGGGGCCAGAAAGAGGAGACGAAAGCAGACAACAGAACATTGCTAGAGAACAGGAAAGGGTGTGAGAGAAGACGATTTAAGAGAAGAAAATTTTCGGTCGCTACCTGGATTTGAACCCGGGACCTTTGAATGAGAGGCCAACACCTTAACCTCTGGGCCGCGAGAGCTCCCTCATTACAAGTTTGCGTTGCCATCGAAATCAACACACACGTCGCCCTTTCACAAAATTTCCGAGGACTAAAGCAAGAGTATTATTGGTGGAATGAACCCATGGACTCGCCAAGTCAATATTAGCCTAGCCGACGATCATCTTTCACTAGCATCAACGATACAGAGTGAATGCCGCCAGCGTACTCTTGCCCCCCCCCCCTTCCCCCACGACCGCCAATTTAAAAACCCGCAAAAACGAAAACAAAAACAAAATTAACAACAAAATGTTTGCGTACGCCTTTTACGGCATTTGCAACACAATGAGGCGGTAAGCGTTGAAGATTATAGGAGTTACATTACAAGGAAGTAACAAACACAATAAAGAAGGCAGAGAGAAGAGGACGATTGATGTATTTTTTAGTTTTAGTGAAAGTTTTACGGCGCTCGCAACTGTATAAGGTCATTTGAGCGCCAGAAGATTAGATGTGTTACAAGAGAGTAACAAACATAAAAAACAAAAAGGGGAAATAAAGACGATAGATGTTTGATAGGAAAGAAGAAGCAAACCACACCAGAGCACCCGCCAACCACCCACGATTGATGTATGATAGGAAAGAATTAGCGAACCACACCAGAGCACCCACAAACCACTCGCCATCAGAAACAAAACAAAACAAGACACCCAGGCCGCTGTTGAGCTGCTGGCACAGACAGGAAGACAGACAAACTGACAAGACAAACAAACAGGCCGACAAGGGCGCGTCAGAGCTTCCCAAAGCTGGCCCGCAGGTCAATAAACAAGACAAAAAGACAGACACGAGGAACGTCCAACCAACATGTGGCCGATTCATACTGAAGTAACCAACGGCAGATTACTACATCAGTGTTCGCTATTCCACAAACTACAAATTATGTGTATGTGTATGTAATTTTTTGGAGGTTTTTTTTAGTACAGGGTTTTACGGCGCTCGCAACTGCATAAGGTCATATGAGCGCCAAGGGGTGGGTGTCAACAGAGAAGTCCTTACAGGGAATCAGACTTACTCTGCTCACCTCTTTAGCTCCAACAGCACAAGTCTGCTTCGACTATCAAGGCACCCCGGATATAGCAGGTCACAAGAGTGCGAAAAACATACAAAAGAAGTAGAGGAAAATGACAATAGTAAGGATTAGGAAAGACCGGGGGTATATGTATGTAATAATATATATTATGTCATGAATGTGTATAAATACATAGCTACACAAATAACCTCAAACACTCTCCGCCCCGCCCCTCCCCTGTATCCCAAACTATTTTAAAAAATCCCATTCGCCCCGCAGACAAAAAGAACACCGCCCCAAGAAGGCAGGCCTGTATACATGTATGAT